TGAAAGAAGTCATTAAAACCGCATATTATATGATACCATTTGTATGAAACATCCAGAATAGGCAAATCTATAGAGACAGAAGGTAGATTAGTAGTGTCCCATGATTGAGGAGGGAGAAAAGGGGCTTGACTGTTAATAGGCATCTTTTGGGATGATAGAAATGTCCTAAAATTAGATTGTGTTGATGGTTGCACAACTCTATAGAAATACTAACACTGTTGAATTGTACACTTAAAAAATCACATCTATCTCATTCTTTGGATTATTATTTGATACTGAATATTTGGAGGTACATTGTTAAGTATAGCTCAGTATACAAATACAGGTTTACCCAGTATGAAGAAAAACAAGAAAAATCTAGACTGTGAGACATTCTAGCCCATTTTCTTCAGCAAGTCAATATTTTAAACATCATTGTTCCAGACGAGCATAGCAAACATAGAAGTCATGTGTTGAAGTGGTGGAGAAATAAAATGGGAGGATCTGATTAGAACAGAACCAACAAAGAAACTTGTTTAATTTTTATTTGAGGGATAAATTAAAGTATTACATTAACTCACTAAGATATTGAGGTCCATTTCTTAAAGCAGCGAGGATTGCTACAACAAATATATCTACTCAATTCAATGCAAATGAAATTAAAAAAAAACAGAGTATGTAGTTAAATATTGGGTCTGTTTTATGATATGGGATAAAAGATAACTAGGCTTAAAATTTTTGGTCTTTGGCTTAAGTGCAGTGGAAAAAAATTTACAAGTTTTAAGTGGAGATGGGAATGGATGGGTGTATTAGTTTAATATGGCTGCTATAACTAACACCACAGACTAGATGGCTTAAGCAACAGAAATTTATCTTTCACAGTTCAGAGGCTGGAAGTCCAAGATCAAAGTGTCAACAGAGATTGGTTTCTGCTGAGACCTCTCTCCTTGGCTTGCCAATGGCTGCCATCTCATTGTCCTCACATGGTCTTTCCCCTGTGTACAGGCATAGCTGATGTTTCTTTGTGTCTTCAAATTTTCCCTTCTTATAAAGACACTGGTCTGATTGGACTAGGACTCACCATAAGGGCCTTATTTTAAATTAATCACTTCTTGACAAGCCCTGTCTCTAAATGGAGTCATATTCTGAGGTACTGGAGGCAAGGACTTTTATTTATGATTTTTTTGGAGACAGAGTTCAGGCCAGGACAGTGGTAGGAATGAATGTGGGTAGTGACATAACAAACTCTGCATTTTATAAGATTGGTCTTGGGGCAATGTAGAGAATGAATTAGATGAGTGTATTAGTGGACACAGATGGATTACTTAGGAGGTTTTTTAATAATCCATGCAAAATTTGGTTGTACCTATAGAGAATGTGAGAAGTGGATGAATATGAGAGACTCTAGGAGATGAAATTTACAACTTACAATAGCTGGTGCATGGAATCAGAGGGAGAGTTCAGTGTCAAGGATTTTTCTGTTATACGGTTCACATAACTGATGGTTTAGTGGTGTTACTCCTCAAGATAGAGAACACTGGAGGGTAAATATACCTGGGGGTGGGATTACAGAAGATTCTAATTTCAAATTTGGACATGGTGACTTTTAGGTAACTTTGAGAGTTTCAAAGAAACATGTAAAGTAGGGTTTTGGATGATACTATTCATTAAAAGAAAAAAGAGAAAGGAACACAAATATTTCCTAAAGGCTGTTCATTGATGTTCTGTATAGATCTTCCACAGTAAGCCCTGTGGATTATAAATACAGTTGTTAATTGTGACAACTAGTTGTGGTAGTGAACTGATGATTAACTCACAATGCCCAGCAGAATGAATTTAATTTCATCCTACAGGGAATCCTTTGGAAGTGTTGAGGGAATATCTTTCTTCCCTTTGTTTTTTAAAGAATAAGTTTGGAAATAGAAGTAATAAATATTATCACCATTCATTTTTGAGTGACTGATGAAAATCAGTATGCCAGTAATCATTGCCTCATTTCTGTCTATTCTACCTTACTTCAGGAAAACTATCACTTTCCAATTTCCCTATGTTTTGCGGGAATTGGGTGAGAGTTCAGTGATTTCTACATTTTCCATTACTTAAGAGTTTTGCAATTTGTCTTTAGATACCAAAATATCTATGCAAGATATTTATGTAGGAAATTAAAATTCCAGAAAGGCACTGAGATTTTTTTCAACAGTCATCAAAATCTGGACAGATGGGATGTAAAAGGAGACATATTTACCACAAAATTTTGTAAATAATAAACTTTAATAGAAGAATGAAGTAAATGGAAAAAATTAAAGTAACCACAATAAAAATGATTCAATAGCTTTAAGTTTTATTTTATAATACAGAGAGTTTAGAACTGAGACACAGCCGTGAGGGTTGTATATACTTTATTTGTAATTTTGCAGAATGAAGATAATCCTGGCCTTTAAATTTGGTGGCTGTCTATAACACATAGCTTTTAAAACTTCATGGAATCATGAGGATAAGGGCTGCAGTAAGTAATATAGCCCTTGTAATATATAATATAAAATATATAATAAATATATAATATATAGCTAGCACTGTCTGCTTTACTCTCATCTGCAGATATTTCTTTCATATTACTCTTAAGGAAAAAACAATTCCCAAAGCTTGCTACTTCTTGGCTTAATTTTGCTGAATTAATGAAGTGAAATTAAAAATGTCTATTACTTGGTAATTTGGGTTGCAAAGAAAGCAAGGTCACTTTATTTAGGCCAAAATCTCCACTTTGGAAAGAAAATGACATTTCCTTAACATTCATGTAGTCCATTTTTCAGTAAATATACTCCAGTGAATCTTTTTAGGTGTATATATTATAATAGGGATCCCTGTGGGTATGTGTTTAGTAATTTAAATGTATTAAATCTTTTTTGTTTTTAGCTTAATGAAGAGGGAGAATAACAACTCATTGTTCTTGCCACTGGATAAACAAACCTAGTTCTTTTAATGCATTTTCATTCAATGTCTCTATGTACTGTGTGTCAAGGGGTATGGCTATAAAATTATGAAATTGATTTTTTAAATGTTACTTTTATTTTAACTGTTATTATTATAGTAAATGTACTTTTGTTTCCCTTTCAAAGAGCATAGGAAGTTACATATTCACTGCAAAGTATTTGGGAAATTCTATTCTGGATTTTCATTCAGATATAGTTTATAAGTAATAAAAGAAAATTAACCTTATTACTTCATAAAATTATCTGACATTATAGTCATAATACCAGTAAAACCTAAAAACCCCTTAGGAATAAATAATAAAAGCATTGAAACTATATGAAGAAACTATAAAAATGACTACTATACGTGGATACCACCTTAAACAATTTCCAAATGCCTTTTGACTATTTCAAAGAATAATGCCTGCTCTCAATAGTCTATTACTGAATATTTAAATGGAAAATATCATTAAGAATTAAAGACTGTTAATAGATATTTTCATAGAAAAATTTACAGATTTTTGTTCCTATTTTTAATTAGAGTTTCCACTGTCAAATACTTCTTGTTAAAAGTAACAATAACATTTTATTTTTCCTATTTCTATTAATATACTAGTGACCAACCTTTTATATATCTTTCCAGGCATACCTATGCATACAGACAGACACACAGGCATAAACATAGACATACACACATACATATATAACAAAATTATATACTAAAGTGTGTATGATATGTTTTTAGCATAATTTCTGTGTGTGTGTAGGACTAAAATATCTCTTCTTGCTTTCACTATTCCTGCCACTACATCTACTTCTGCACCAGAAAACCAGTGTTAGCAACTTGGTATATTATTCCATATTTATCCACATTCATGTCATCATAATTATTTATATTTATAAACAAAAAATTTTGAAAATTATAAAGATGGGACCATAAAATTTAAGCTTCTTTATATTTTGATTCCCTCAATCATACATTGAGAAAATCCTCCCACAGTTAACTGATACAATTCAAATACGTTTCTTTTATGTCTGAATAATAATCCACAGTAAGACTGTACTGTAATTTATTCAACCTTTCTACAGTTGTGAGTGTTCTTTCTGTTTCCAGGCTTTTCCCTCATGAATAATGCCTTATTAAATACCCTTATACTTTATTCTTGTATATGAGTGATATTATTTATAGAATATACATCCAGGAGTAAGCCTGGTTGATCAAAGTTTATATAAATTTCTAATTTGACAGATAATGTCAGATTCAAAAGTCTGTTACAATTTATATTTTCACCAGTTACATTAGAAAGTGCTTTCTTTTTCACTTTCCTGTCATCAACAGATATTATTTCTCATTTTGCTTATCTGACAAGTGAAAATATGCATCAATTAAAAAATGTTCCTAATTATTAAGGAGGATGAATATTGTTTAATATATTTATTGGTCACATTGACTTGCTCTTCCATAAACATGTCTGTTCATATTTTCTGCCCTTTTGTTTCACTGGGTCATTGAATTTGTTCTCATCTAGTTTGTAAGAGGTTGTGTGTGTGTTATAATTACTAACCCTATATATGCAGAATGTCACAGATTCTTTCCCAACATATTTTTGTCCTTTCTCTTTGCTTACATATCTGTCTCTGCAATGTCTCTGTTGTGTGGTTATGCCTATATTAAATTATTAGTCTATTTCTCTCCCACATGCAGTGGTTTTGCATTTGCATCTATTCCTCATGCAAGTCTTCCCCATGGTTTTATACTGCCTCACATATTGGTACTTATTTCAGTTTTTTCCAATGTTAGAGTCAATTACCTAAATACAGAATTTGTAAACAGACTTACTATAGGATGAAAGTTAACCTTTAAAAACTAATTAAATGGGAAACAACAGTAAGATATAATTTCATTTGCAAATGAAATGCCATGACTTTGTGTAAACTTTAGTGACTGTCCTTGTCACATATTTTCTCAGTACAGTGATCAAGTGTGAGTATGTCAGAAGGAAACAAGACTCTAGTGACTGAGTTTGTTCTTGCAGGACTCACAGAGTGACCATGGCTGCAGGTCCTCCTCTTCATCTACCTCACCACCATGCTGGGCAACCTTGGGCTGATGGCTCTTATTTGGAAGGATGCCCACCTTCACACACCCATGTACTTGTTCCTTGGTGGTTTAGCCTTTGCAAATGCTTGCACTTCAACTTCTGTAACACCCAGGATGCTGGTCAATTTCTTAGACAAGACTGCCATGATATCCCTAGCTGAGTGTATCACCTAATTTTATTTTTTTGCTTCCAGTGTAACTACAGAATGTTTCCTCCTGGTAGCAATGGCCTATGACTGCTATGTAGCCATACGTAACCCCTTGTTTTATCTAGTGGTGATGTCCAACAGACTCTGCACTCATTTAAAAAGTATTTCATATGCAATTGGTTTTCTGCATCCCCTGATTCATGTGAGTTTATTATTAAGATTAACTTTCTGTGGGTCTAAGATAATACATTATTTCTATTGTGAAATTTTACAACTGTTCAAAATTTCATGCAATGACCCACCCGTTAAGGCACTAATGATAACTATTTTTGCAGCTTTTATACAAATATCCACTTTAATGACCACGATAATCTCTTATACTTGTGTGCTCTTTGATGTTCTGGAAACAAAAGTCTGAAAAGGGCAGAAGCAAAGCCTTCCCCATGTGCAGTGCCCATATGCTCTCTGTCTCATTGTACTATCGCACGCTCATCTTCATGTATGTGGGCCCTGCGTCGGGCCTAGCTGAAGATCAGGACAAAATGTATTCCCTATTTTATATGATTATAATTCCCCTGCTAAACCCATTTATTTACAGCTTGAGAAATAAAGACGTTATAGGTGCCTTGAGAAGAATTTCAGAGAAGTAAACAGTTCCCAAGGGAAATTTCAAATTGTTTCCCTTTTCACTCTTTGCATAAACAAGTCCTCAAAATTTTTCAGATTAGCCATAGTTCTGGCCTTTCATAAGAGCGGTGGTCACTGAGCACTTGGTGAAGGAACACAGCTTCACACAATGTTTACTTGGATGTGGGTCCAGTCAAAGTTACTATTTCAGTTGAAATGACCCACATCATCCACAACTGATTTATTTTTAAATGTTGTAATTCCTTTTTATCCGAACGTTTAAACTTTGAAAATTTACTATCTTCAGCGGACTTCTCCCCCAATCTTCACTAATTTCATTTAATAACTGACAGCAACTGAGGCTGGTGTATAAGTGCGAGTTTTAGTTCACAACTGATGCTAACTCACTGAGCTAGACCTGTATGTTAAGAAAGGTCTGTGATAAAAACTTAGATTCTTGGCAGAAAAGTGTTCAACAACAACTATAAAAAGAGGTTGGCTTGAATTGAATAATGGAACATCAAGATGTAAAACTTCCCATATCTAGAAGTCCACACACTAACTTTCATATAGGACATCACATGATACAGTAGAACTCAGGAATTTGCAGATTTGGAAATACCTCAAGATATAGCCTTCTCAAATATTATAGATTTCCTGTACTCTATTTACATGAGTATTTTGTTTGAAATAGTAATCCTGGTCAAATATTTGCATAGGGATTGCATTGCTAAACTACAAGAGGCAGAAGGCAAGGATGAGAAATTGGTTAAGAGTGCATGGATGTGGGTACAAAATTGAGGTAGTCATCTCTCAAAGCTGAGACTAGGTTCTTAAGATCTCAGCTACCAATTTACTTACAATTCAGTGAGAGGACTACATTTATATATATATAAATTTATTTTAGTATCATAGAACTGAAACAGATCCCCTTTTTTAAAACAGTTTATTTTATTTATTTTTGGCTGCATTGGGTCCTCGTTGCTGCATGGGCTCCTTCCCGTTGCGGCGAGTGGGGGCCACCCCTTGCTGTGGTGTGCGACTCCTCACAGCGGTGGCCTCTCCCATTGCAGAGCACGGGCTCTAGGCAAGTGGGCTTCAGTAGTTGTGGCTCGCGGGCTCCAGAGCGCAGCCTCAGCAGCTGTGGTGCATAGGCCCAGCTGCTACATGGCATGTGGGATCTTCCCGGACCAGGGCTCGAACCCGCATCCCCTGCATTGGCCGGTGGATTCCTAACCACTGCGCCGCCACCAGGGAAGCCCCAGATCCCCTTCTATGCAAAGACTTGATTATGTCCCTTCAAGCATTGTGTTTAGGAAAAAAGAATTCACAGGAAATGAAAATTAAATTCATATTGTTGAAACAGGAGTGAAATGTTTCTCTCATCGAAGTATTTTGAAAATTATTTTTAGTTTTTTTCCTATAATTCCAACAAATACACCAAAATTCTTACCTAGAATGAAGACATAGTACGTATCATACATTTATTGATTGTTTGACTTATGAATATAAAAGAAAAAACTCTATTTGATTGTATGGGTCTACCATTTATCGCTATAGGGCCCCACTGTCATTTTTTTTAATTAGGTAGGTAAGGTGTATTCTTTTTAGATATACTATTTATATCCAGGAGATTCTGATTAACTTTACTGTCTTGGTGGCTAACTTAATAATTCAAGATATTTATATTTTATATGTTAGGATTGATTTTTACTATTACATTTTCTTTATTTTTGATTAGGGCCCTATTTCTATAGTTTGTCCTTTATGCTCCATTATAATCTATTAAAATATTGTTATCATTTAGAAAAAAATAAATTTATTCCCATGTGTACATGTCTCAATATGTACTTTTTTTAGTTTGAGTGTATGGCACTACATAATGTTTCTAATTTCTTCAATGATATTTTATGACTTGCTGCAGCTGATTATTGAATTTTTACTGATTATTAAAATTTTAACCATTTAGTGCATGTAATGCTAACAAATATTTTGTATTAACCTAACCACAGCACAATTATAATATGCAGCAAAATTAATAACATTTGCTTAGTATGTAATATCCATATGTGTCAGTTTTTCCAATATATCTCAAAAATTTTGCTGTGTCTGCTTGAATCAGGATTTAAACAAAGTATAGCCGTGGCATTTTTATGATGGTTTTAAAGTGTCTTTTAATCTAAAAAGTTTTTCTCTTCCTCTTTTTTTCATGTCATTTATTTTTTGAAGAAACTGGCTCATCTGTCCTACAGAACTCTTCACATTCCACATCTGGCTGAAAGTATCTTTGTGATGAAAATAATGTATTCCTTGTAACGGCAGATAGATCTAGAAGCTTGATTAAATTCAGAATATTTTTATTTTAGTTCACTAGCTGTGGACTTACTACTGTGTTCCATTAAGAACGAAAAGATTCTGATTATATTGTTTCACAAAATTACCCATTTCATCAAGGTTTTCAAATTTATTTGTCTAGAATTGGACAATGACACTCAAAATTGTTTCAAAATAAACTGGGTTTAGAAAGTTATTTCCCTCTTTTTATTTTTTGGGGGCTTTTCTCAGTTAAAAAAAATTAGGTTAGCTAGTAATTTTTCTATTTGTAGGTATTTTAAAAGAACCAGCTTATAATTTTTTTATTACATCTAACTTTGCTATTATCTAATTCATTAATTTCTCTTATTTTAAAATGTTTTCCATCTGCTTTGCTTCCTTGTAGTATATTGTTTTTCTTCTAGCTTTTATATTTACAGTTGGATTCATTTATTTTTAGTTTTCATTTATTATTGATACTGTGTATATTCATAGTTTATGATATTATGGTTAGTCTTCTGAATTGAATTTAGTTGTTGAGTGTTTCAAATTTTTTTGGCTTTCTGCCTCTCACTGTTCATGCGGGATTTCTCTTTATGTTAATTCATGTTAATATTCTGTAGGTCTAACAGAACCTAAGACCTTACAATCTACAGGACTGTCATCTTTCCTCTATTATTTGTTTTTGTGAATGCCATCTTCATGTACAGCTACCTATGCCCATCCATCCTATGGGGTCAGGCCATGTGAACATGGTTTTATATCACCATGAATGCTATGTTCAGTTAAGATTATCTGAGACTAGTTTAGTGTGTGTCATCACATCTGAGTGGGGATTAGGGGCAGGAAGACTGCCTTGCTGGAGCTGTGTGGTCTTCTCCAAGTGATAGTTGTGGGCAAGAGAATTACTCTGCTTTTGGAAGAAGTGGAGAAATAAATTTTCTGCAGCCACAAGGAAAGCAGTTTTTTCAGACGCTAATGGCCAGTCAGCATCATCTGAATAAGGTGAATTTGGCAAATGACATGCAGGTTCTCCAAGATAGAGTAATTGCAGAAAATCTTTAAAAGATTGTTTAGAAGATCAACCAGGCTGACAGAGTAGAAAGACTCTGAGCTCACCTCTTCTCCTGAGCACACCAAAATCACAACCATTCATGAAAAAGACTGACCTACCAGAAAAGATCTTCTACAACTAATGACATGAAGAAGGAACCACAATGAGACACTTATGAGGGGCAGACCTACAATATACTCAAGTCCCAAACCCCCCACAGGAGTGAGACTTCTGAGTCCCATGTTGGGCTCCCCAGCCCAGGGGTCCTGCACTGGGAAGATGAGCCTCCAAAGTATTTGGCTTTGAAGGCCAATGGGGCGTAATTTCAGGAGCTCCACATGATTGGGGAAATAGAGACTCCATTCTTTACATTTTTTTAAATGTCTTATAGAGCTGATTATTTATTTAGTCCAGGGCTTAATCAAGGTTTACACATTACATTGCTTTTTTTAAATACATATTTATTGCAGTATAATTGTTTTACAATGTTGTGTTCGTTTCTGCTGTATAACAAAGTGAATCACATATATGTATACATATATCCCCATATCCCCTCCTTCTTGCGTCTCCCTCCCACACTCCCTATCCCACCCCTCTAGATGGATACAAAGCACCAAGATGATCTGCCTGTGCTATGCGGCTGCTTCCCACTAGCTATCTATTTTACATATAGTAGTGTATATATGTCCATGCTACTCTCTCAATTCATCCCAGCTTACACTTCCCCCTCCTCGTGTCTCCAAGTCCATTCTCTATGTCTGGGCCATTATTCCAGTCCTGCCACTAGGTTCATCAGGACCTTTTTTTTTTTTTTAGGTTCCATATATATGTGTCAGCATATGGTATTTGTCTTTTTTTTTCTGACTTAGTTCACTTGTATGACAGACTCTAAGCCCATCCAACTCACTACAAATAACTCAATTTCATTTCTTTTTATACTGAGTAAAATTCCATTGTATATATGTGCCACATCTGCTTTACCAGTTCATCTGTTGATGGACTCTTAGGTTGCATCCATGTCCTGGCTATTGTAAATAGAGCTGCAATGAACGTTGTGGTACATGACTCTTTTTGAATTATGGTTTTCTCAGGGTATATTCCCAGTAGTGGGATTGCTAGGTCAAATAGTAGTTCTATTTTTAGTTTTTTAAGGAACCTCCATACTGTTCTCCATAGTGGCTGTACCAATTCACATTCCCACCAGCAGTGCAAGAGGGTTCCCTTTTCTCCTCACCCTTACCAGCATTTATTGTTTGTAAATTCTTTGATGATGGCCATTCTGACTGGTGTGAAGTGATACCTCATTGTAGTTTTGATTTTCATTTCTCTAATGATTAGTGATGTTGAGCATTCTTCCATGTGTTTGTTGGCAATCTGTATGTCTTCTTTGGAGAAATGTCTATTTAGGTCTTCTGCCCATTTTTGGATTGGGTTGTTTGTTTTTTTTAATATTGAGCTGCATGAGCTGCTTGTAAATTTTGGAGATGGATCCTTTGTCAGTTGCTTCATTTGCAAATATTTTCTCCCATTCTGAGGGTTGTCTTTTAGTCTTCTTTATAGTTTCCTTTGCTGTGCAAAACTTTGAAGTTCCATTACATCCCATTTGTTTATTTTTGTTTTTATTTCCATTTCTCTAAGAGGTGGATCAAAAAGGAT